TTTGGGAGTTGAAGTCCACCCATCTTAAAGTTGCCAAGTTTGAAAAACATGCTCTGGAACATCCCTGGCTGTTCACACGTCCTGGTCTGACAAAGCCCTCCGTGTCTTCTCTTGGATTAAATGGAAGGGTGGGAAACCAAGGACAATGAGAAGCGGACAAGGAGAAGAGAAGATTTAATCACGTCCATCTCAAGATTAAATCAGGGCAAGGGAAAGAACATGCCATCTCCCCGCTGAATTTCTTTCAAACCCTCTTCTCCTTTTCCTTCAAATCTCTGCAAAATTCTCTTTGTCAAATATCGGAAGGCTGGCCCCGGAGAAGGAAGAGTGGGCAGGACCAGGACTGAGGGCTTCAAGCTACAAAGAAGGAGGTTAAGGTAGATATCAGGAGGAACATCTCTTGAGTGCTTCAACTGTCAGCCCGAGGAACAGGCTGCCACATGAAATGGAAAGTCCTCCATCCCCGAAAGTCTTGGAACCAAGGCTCGATGCTCCTTTGTCAGAGATGCTGAAATGGATCCTGGGCAGAGATCGGACGAGGGGACCTGTATAGCCCTAGCATTGAATCTCAAAAGCAGATCCTCCTCCTTCCCACTGAAAGAAGATCGCTGAGACATTTTCTGCAGAGCTCAGAAGGGAAGCCAGCTGGGACCAGCAATAAAATGTTACTGTACGAATTGCTCTCAGCAGCTTCCCCTTTCATCACCCGCCAGGTGTTCAGTCCTGCTAGGTGATAACTTTATTTTTCCAACACCTTTTGCAGAGGGTGGGTGGGAAGCATCGCCACCCAGAGTCACTTGGATGAAGACGGTCGGGTAGAGAAATTGCATAAATAAATAAAAATGAATAAGCATGGCATTTTGGGCACGCTGTTGCTTGTCGCTTGAGCAGCTCCTGGGGTTCTTATTAAAATAAGCCCAAGTAGACATAAAATGTCCTTTTAGAGTTTGCAGACCCAGAGAAATCTGAAAGACATTCTCAAGCCTTCTGAGAACAAGAGGGTAGGGTGGCCTTCATCAGGGACAGCCAAATATATTAATTTCTTCTCGGAATTTTTATATCCCACTGCAGCCTTACGATTCTCAGTGGTATACAAGCTATGGGAAAAAAACATCAAAACTGCCAGGGGGAGATTAAAATGCAAACGGTATAAAGAGGGAGTAGAAATAATAATATAAATTAACAACGACCTGCACCACCACAGTGAACATAATGAATAGAAAAGTGAGAAGTGAAAAATCGTTGGAAAGTTTCCTGGAAAATTTTAACGAGGAGCACCTGGTGAACTACCATGGACAGCGTACTCAGGCAATGGCCACCTCTAGAGGCACAGAAGGACAGATGCCCAACATCAGGATCTGTGGTCTTTGGAATCAGCTGGCTGTGGGAGGACTCTGGATTGGCCAGGACTGATATCAGTATCGTCTCTATCCCTGTCTCTGCTATTGATTGATGATTAATTGATGACGTGCCATCAAATTGGTGTCAACTCTTAGCGACCACATAGATCAGTGTTGTCCAAACTTGGCCACTTTAAGATGAATGGACTTCAACTCCCAGAATTCCCCCCCCCATCCTTGCTGTGCGGGTGTTTTGCGGAGGGGTTCGGCCGTAAATTACAAAACACAGCCGTCTGAGGCGGG